TAAAGGAAGAAATGGAAAACATCTAGAGTATGGGAAGCCCAGGATTGGTTGGTATGAGTAAGATTTCGCCCTGAATATTAGGATTCACAAACTTCGGGGGTGAATGGCCACTAGTCAGTGATAGCTCAATTCATCTGTATGACTTTGGATGAAACAGAACCTCAAATGTTAAAAATCAGTGGCTGGTCTAGTGATCAGTGCTCCCCTTCTGCTAAGTTATATCCTGATTGAGGAGCAGAATGGAGGGAAAGGGGTTTTAGGAGATAATTATAATAATAAAAATGGACCCTAGTTTATGGAACATTGGCTCTGCGAGTTAGGAAACCACCGAGCAACACTATCTTTGTAAAGTAGGTATGTACCCTATGTGTACATGCAAATGAAGTCAGGTAGGCAGGTAGCCTACATGTAGATGCAAATGAAGTCAGGTAGGTTTGGAGCCTGCGTGTGCATGCAAATGAAGTAAAATTGCACACAGTGCTCAATAACTTGTCCAGACCCACACAGCTAAAAAGTAGTAGATGTGGACTTCAAACTCAGACCTGATTTTAAAATGTGTGTGTCATGTCTAAACGGAATGTCTCCATCAAATCTCTTCCCTCAGAAGAGGAGGCATAAATAGTGTAAGAGCTCGAGGGAAAGGGGGGCACCAGGAGAACAAGGTCTCCTGAATGGACTTGAGCAAATATGAACTCATGCATACTGAAGCAACGAGCACAGAGCCTCACGGGTGTGCACCAGGGCCCCTGCATATATAGTGTAGCTTTCAGTTTAGTATTTTTATGGGACTCCTGAGTGTGTGAACAAGTGTGTCTGGTTCGTGTGCCTCCTTTGGGGATCTTTTCCTTCTGTTGAATCGCCTTTTCCAACTTCAGTGTGATGGGTTTTGTTTTATCTTGTTATGTATTTTATGTTTTGTTGGTAGAAGCCTGTTTCTTTTCTAACGAGAGACAGAAAGGGAGTAGATCTGGATCAAGGGGAGGAACTTGGAGGAGTAGAGGGAGGACAAAAATGTAATCAAGATATATTGTATGAGAAAACAATCTATTTTTAATAAAAGGGGAAATTAATAAACTAAAATATGTGCTCTTTATGATCACATAGGATCTTAAGAACTAATTTTTGATCAAGTATTACATTTGAAATGAGCAGGGCTTTCCTATCTTGTTTTGCTCTTCATACAGAAGAATTCGATATGTGTGTGGATGCCTGTTCACATGCATGGGGAGGCCCAAGGAGGACACCAGGAAACACTTTCAATTGGTCTTCCATGTTTTTCAATGAGGCAGACTCTTTCATGTGAACCTGGAGAGCCCCCGATGCGATTAGTCCTGATCACCAGCTTGGTCTGGAGATGCCCTGTCTCCAACTTCTGAGTCTGGGATTTCAAGTGGGCCACTTACACCCACCCATCTGACATTTATGTGTGTTTCTAGAGATCATGAGCCATCTCCCTAGTCCTTAAGCCACACTTGCAATCCTGGGAGGGAAGAGAAAAAAAGGACAATGCCTGTTCTTCCAAGGCAAAATCAGATAATAATTCTGAAATGGTTACCTGCTGTTTGATCACATCTTAATGAGCATATGTTTTGATAGGCCCATTTGAGAAATATGGCTTGAGTTATATAAATATAACATTTATAGTCATATTTTGGGTATATATGTGATGTTTTCCAGAGAAATTTAGGATCTAAAAGAAGTAAAAAAATAAACATGATGATTACTATGATGTTAGGATAGGGAATATAGGTGAAAAGATATAAAGGAGTTGGGGGTAGGCCAAAGGAAATCAGCTGAGAACACAGTGGAGCTCTCCAGTTCTGTGCGGCTGCTTCAGTAAGTCCTGCCAACATATCTGCCTGGCTGGCTTTGAAACCGGACACACTGCCAGCTGCCAGTACCACACACATTCCTCCCTGAGTTGGCTTTCTCCTCTGCAAGGGAGGTAGCTGAGATCTGCTGAGTTGGGCAAATCAGGCGAAGCAGGTTTTTCCACAGGGCTTAGACTCTTCCTTAGGACAGAACCCAGTTGATGCTGGAAGCTTCAGCCTTTTCATGGAAGAAATTCCCCAAAGAGAGTGCAGTGGGAGCAGACTCAAAAAGGACGGGATGCAAACCAGGCATAGAAAATCAGCGCTTGAGGAAGAATGAGCACAAGCTTGTGCACACTTTAAACTGCTGATTACAAAATATATTTAGCTATAATCATCATTCCCAATCTACCAATGGATGCAACTATTGTTTTTTTTTCTTTCACTGTGAATAGAAACCTTAAATATATGGCTCGACACGCCTGTGACCTTTAGACCTCTAAACCTGTTATGATTTAGTTATGAGAAGATTCTACAATATTGACAAGGTTTTACTGGTTGGTATCATGATCCCAATCTTAAGTGTCCCTGAAGGCATCCATGTTAAAGGCTATTGATCATAACTGGTTACTAATCTGTGCCACCACTAGGACATAGTGGGACCTTTGGAAGGTGGGGCCCAAAGGAAGAAAGCTAGTCATTAGAGGCACATCCTTGAAGTAGATGTTGGTCAGCTGGCTTTGTTGTTTCTGGGCCAGCTGACCACGGGCTGAACCATGAGTGAAACACAAACAAACAAACAAACAAACAAACAGCAAAAGCAACCAATCCATCCTCCTTCTTGATGGTCTGACCAGATGTTCTGTCACAGTGGCAGAAAGATGGACCAACACAAGAAATGGAGGCTTAGACGGAAGGTAGTTGCTGTGACTTCTTCACTTGGCAATGTCTAAGTCTTTGGAAATGACTTGTGGGAGGAACTTGGGGAAAATTGGAAAAAAAGCTAAAAAACCACTTCCAGTTCTGCAAGAAGAGCATGCGAGGTGGTTCTATGGAGAACCCTCAAGACAAAACGCTGATTGGATCCTCAGCGACTGCTCATGAGGTTCAGACGGATGTGAGGGCATTCTTGGATGAGAGCCGTATATCACATTCTCCAAGGAACACGTCTGTAAGTCCCCCTTTGACCTGATACTTTGTGAGATGCCACATTTAAAGCTCGTAGGCTAATCTGCTGGAAGACACTTTGAGATAGCAGGTGTGTTGACTGGTATGGATATCGTCTGCTGTTTGTTGAGAATCAGGAGGGAAAGGCAGAGCAGAGGGACTGACCAGCTTGGAGTTTAGATTTTTAAAACAAGGGGCTTTTTAAGGCTGAAAATAAAGTGAGTTCGCTGAGTAGACCAGCACCATCAATACCAGCCAAGCACTTTGCATTGGGACAACAAGAAAGATGCTGTCCTAGCATCTAGGGCATCAGCCAGTTCCCATTCACCAGTGGCTCAAGGGTGTAAAGATAGAAAGCCCGTGAAAGCCTTTGATTGGAGATCACTCCAGGGAGCCTTTCACTCACAGGCTGCCAAGGAAAGCACTTCTCCGAGCTCAGCTAACAAAAACTCAGAAACTGCTGCCGCTGTGGTCCAGGTGGGGTCTGGTTACTGCTCAGGCTGGCCGCGGACCTTAATGCCATTCCGTGATGCCAACTGTGCTGCCTTGAGTCTCAGAAGAGAATGGACTTGGACTTTTATGTGATGCTAGCTAGAGGTCTTGGGAATTCTTGGAGACAGACTGAATAGTGTTGCATCTTGAGTTGGACATGAGTCCTCCAGAAATCCGAAGTGGAATATTTGGTTGGAATATGAAATGTACCCACCCCTACTCTGCTGTCTCCAGGTTCATGTGTTGAAGGCATGGACCTCAGCTAGTGGGAGTACTGAGTCATGGGTTAACTGAGTCAATGGGCAAATCCATTGGTAGTTTGTAATGTATGAACTAGTAGGAAGTGGAGCTGAGCGTAGGAAATGGAACTGGGCATCACTTTGGAGGGCATCAATTGTCCCCAGCCCCCTTTTGTTTTCATTCCTGCCAACTTAGTTCCCCGACACCTCTTTGCCATGATGCGCCACCAGCCAAACATGTCTCAAGACCCCTGAAACCATGAATTCAAATATATCCTCCCTTAATTGTTTTTATTATGTATTTTGTCTCAGAAATGAAAAGCACAGAAGTAACAAACTATGTATTATAGGTATAGTTTAGGGAAACAAAGACTTGAAACTATATTCCATAGAACCACATTTACAGGATGGGCCTTAAGCTTATTAGTAAGACTGGCAGCATTTTAAATTAAACCTTTGTGATACAGATTTAAATCCATTCCTAGACCTTCCATATTAGTGACTTATTTTAATAAATGGACTCTTCAATAGTTCCAGGCTACTATTGGGATAAAAGGGCTTTTACTACAGAGCTGGTAAAGGCATGTCCCTTGCATTACTGCTAAGAGCATCGCCTGGAAGCTGCTGTCCAGGATGTGGGCTTCCAAAGCTCTCCAGGAGACCATGAGCACTGACGGGGTCTGAGAAGCATTACAGGTCACTGCTCACACATCACTGAGGCCCCTAGACTGGACAGGACCCTTAGAAAACAAGACAGACTGTGTGAGGAATCCCAGTGTTTCCCTTTTATTCTCGCTCTGCAATCCTGGTTTTAGAGAAGTTTGCTAAGGAAATAATTCAAAGGAAGACAGAAATCTGAAGAAAACCCTCTCTGCACGAAGCATGACGCTACTCTATGATACTGAAATCACTGAAATAACAAAGAAAGACTTTGAGTTTGAAAACTAGTTAAACATTTATACAGTTAAAAAAGCAGCATTCGTCATGGTTATATGCTACAAATATCAACAAACTCTCGGGAATGACCAGTTCCATTACCTTAGAGTAGTCTTCATACTTAAAATTATCTTCCTATAATTGTAATTTTATAAAAATATCTTAGTTATAAAAATTGAAAGCATCATTAAAAATTCACTCAACACTCAATGTAAAATTCTAAGATTCTAAAAACCAATAAAACACCGCTATCACGTCACTAGCCAGCTGCCACATGGAAAACACCCAGATTTATTACCCTTTTGACAGATGGGCGGTTAGAAAAGTCAGTCTTAAGTAAAGATGCTGTCAGTACCTGAGTTATCTTCATCTTTGCGGATTTTGAGCTTCACCAGATCTTCACACTGCTGGAGGATCTGGACTGCGTCCTCCATGGAACAGTTGTCCAGCCGGATGTTATCTATTGCGAGCAGTTTATCCCCGAGTTCCAGAGTTCCGGTTCTGTTGATGAGCGCACAGCACTGTGTGAGTTATGATGAATACTCACATGGGCCATTTCAAAAGGCGCTGAACACAATGCAGTGTTCTAGTGGCCTTCACAGTCGAAGGTTTCAACTGTTTGTAAACTGTACTATATTGACAAGCTTCAATTTCTTCCCGGTCTTGTTTGGGATGGGGGCTACGGTGTCACACTGCATAACGCCCAAACGTCTTCCTTATGCTTTCTTCAACTTAACCCGGGCATTTTCTCAGGAAGGCTAGAGCTCCTTAGGAGGTCCTAAGTACAAGAGCCCCCACATATCATTGTGTTCCTCCCAACCTAGAGATAATTATTTCCCAATATTTATCCTCTCTTTTCTTCTGCTGGGTCATCTATGATTGATACACAGGCTATCTCAGCAACCCCCAATCCCTTTCCTCTTATGGATAGGAAACAGGAATGGCAGGTAGGTGTGATGGTTTCCCAGCTCTGGATTCCCTGCCCACTTTCCACCTGTTACACAAGAAACATTTTTTGTCCTTGTTTGACACATGATATTAATAATTTACTTTTCATCACAGCTGTGCCTGCACTATAAATCTGAACTCTTACTATGTCCTCCACACTTTTTTGTGGTTTCTATTTCTTTAATGACACAATTACAATGACAGGCTGGGTTTTAAAAGTCTTCATTTAAAAAACAATAAGAGGAAAGTTAATATTACATTGGCATGCTTTTTTACATAAAATGGACTTTTATCTGTGTCATAGAAAGTACAAGACGATCTTATTTAGATGTACAGAGACCAGGGAGGAGACAGTTCTAATATAGCTTCAATTGACAACTTGATACAGCCTAGAGTCATTTAAGAAAGACGTGATAGTCAAGAGACTGTCCAGATCGCATTGGCCTGTGGATATGTCTGTGATGGTTTCTATTGATTGTTCATTGGTTTGGGGGGGTCCAGCCCACTATGAGTAACACATTCCCTAGACAGATGGTTTTGAACTGAATAAAAAAAAAAACCTAGCTACTCATGAGCCCACGGAGTGAGCCAGCAAGCAGCACTCCTCCCCAGCTTCTGCTGGACCTCCTTGCCTATGAACTCTCTGGGCAGTAGGAATGATGTAGGTCAGCTAGCAGGTTCACGTTCATGTTCCCACTTGAGACTCTACCCTGATGTCTGTCCGTAAGGGACTATGATCTGGAACTATAAGCCAATTAAGTCCTTTCTCTCCTGCGTTGCTTTTGGTCAGATTTTTTTTTAAATGACATCAACAGAAAGGAAATTAGAACAGAAACATAAACATTACTGGGGGTTCAAAAGTCTTACTTGTTCAAAGGGGACACAATAGCACCTAACCCAGCTGTCGCATAAGCTATTAGTCTAGGTGAGGCACTTCTCAGAACTGAAATAACTAGAAGATGAAAGATGGATGATGAGCATGAAGAAATGCTCATGCTGACCCCATGGAAGCCCATAAAGATCACTTTCCACTCTGGAGTACGGAAACACGCCGACAGGAGGAAACAGGTAAATGAGGGAAGGCCCATCCTTACCTGTGTGCCACGCTGCCTTTCTTGATATCTGAAATGACAAGAGGGTCCCCAGGTTTTCTACTGGATGGTGCTGTAATAATGAAGACAGAGCGAGACATCACATCTTTATATCCAGGACTCATGCAAGTCTGTACGTTCCCTCCTGACTGATGCTTTCCATACCAGGGAGAGTTTATATGTAAATCAAAGGCAACCAACATATGGTTGGAAAATATGCATACTAAATCCAAAAACACATTCATGTAAAAGTATTTGCATGCTGGAAGGCAAGATGGTCATTTAAATTTGCAATTGGAGAAAGCAGGTGAAGAGCTGACCATCAGATTTAGGGCAGTGACCTGAAAGGTTGGCTCCTCAACAGGAGAATCATGAAATCAGTCACTTTGGTGATACTGGGTGTGAGCTGGTCTCCTACCCTTTCCTCCATGCCTCTCTAGCAAAGAGGCACGACTTTGTTGATGGGCACTCACCACGTTCCTCAAGTGCCCTGGGAGGGATATAAGGCAGTAGCCACTGCTTTATTATTCGTGTCGTCTACGTGGAAATCTTTTGGGGTGGACTATACGAACCCTTATGCTCTGCCCACAAATTCTTACCTAGAAAACTCTACAGTGTTATGGGATGGGACTGCTTATTTTGGTATGATAGGAAATATTTTATTACCTAACTAAATACATATATGTGTATATATTATAAGCATATAATATAGAACTTATTAAACCACACATAAAATTATTATCAGTCAGAGTGGTCAAATATTTGGAACCTTTAATCTTTTGGGAAGTAGGACTTCCCTTTGATAAGAATAAAAAAATAAAAGATTTGGAAAAAAACTTCCTTGAAATTAACTATGAATATGCATTATACCCCAGAGAAGCTCAAAGAAACCATCTTTATGTGTAAAGTTTAAATTTCATTTAGGATATCAACATTTGTGAAAAACCAAGTGTCTCTGAGAGAAGATGCTTTGCCAACCTGAAGCCTGTGACGGTTTCCTTTTAGAGGACATTAAAAGGCCCCTGAAGTAAGATTTTATTATAAACAGGCTGATCAACCCATAATAATCACAGAACCATATCATATCCTATAATCCTACCTGAATCCCAGAAAAATGTTTATGCATAAGGACAGATGGTTTAACAACTCAACATCATATTAAAAGGAAAACCAATGCCCCAATTCCTTATCCACTATTGCAATTAGTCCTGAGTAAATGATGAGATTTCACTTAATCGCTAACCTTAGCTTCTAGCAAAGTGTGCAGAACATATTCACTAGAATTAACTCATTGTTTAAACCTTCACTCAATGATTGGATATGACTTACCCACAGACATGAACATCTACCAATTTTACTCATATTCTAAAATAGAAATAGCTCTGGGCATTGGGCATGCACGCACACACGCACGCGCGTGCACGCGCGTGTACACACACACACACATTGAACTTTTATTACATGCAAGCATTATTATTATCCTTTTAGTATCTGCCAATGAATTCGCGTAGTATCTTGCCAACCTATAGTAACAATGAAATAACATGCAAGAGTTTCCTTTGAATGAAAAAGGCCCACATTTCACTGAAAAGGAAAATCAGCAACTGTAAAAACGAGAAGATCCATCAAACTCACCCTTCTTTGCAAGACAGCAAAATGGTATCATGGTAGAGGGCAATGCTACATAAATTTTTTTCTAGGAATGCTCTACGCATCTACATGCATAGGGTGGCTATCCTCATCTCTCTATATTCTCCTTTCTCCTCTAACTACACCCACAACTGAAACTCAAAAGTTCTTGGTGGTGAAGATATTGAACAGAGAAGCGTGTACAGACCTATTTGTCTCTTTCACTTCCAGGCACACAGATGTGGTGGTGAATCCTCGAGCGATTAGTAGTTGTCGATACCTCCCTACCACAATGCTAAGCTCTTCTCTGCCTAGAAAATAGCAAGCCTATATATATATAGCAAGCCCATAAGCTCTAAACCTACCAAGAAGGTCACTATTACTAAATATTAATAGATTTTACATAGATGTGTAGCTTTGGTAATAGAAAACCAGTAGGAAATTATAGTGTAGGGATTGAGAAATGTCACTTGATGGTCATAATGGCTGGGGCTGAAGTCATAGCTCTGGCATTTCTAGGTTGATTGCTTGAGGACAAAGTCTTTAGATGACTCAGGTCCTCACCTGTGCAGGATATGATGAATATTCACAATCTTTACCTGAGAGTTTCTGCTGAGAGGATTATGAGCCCTCAAAGGCAGAGTGATTAGACAATGCACACAAGACTGCTCTTTCTGCATTGTTTGTTGTTCCTGCGATCCAGCCACTTCAGACTCATTTCCCTACCCAGAATAGAAATGGATCCTTCAGTCTTTATCCATAGGATCTTGCCCAGACTAGTGATCCTTCAAGAAATGTCTCATAGTCACTTAATGCTTTGGATTTGATTGAAAATTTCCACAGAACCAGGCACTTACTTAGCTCATATTTCCAGAACACTAACTATGAGCCATATCTGCACTGGGCTCTGGCTGTGGAATCTCAGAGAAATTGGTTTAAAATCAGTTTAAAAAAGAGAGGCAGGGCTTGTTAGATATTATAAGATCATGAGAAATAAAAAGTTTTCTCTATTCTGAAATACTTTTAATATTATTTTATTTATTTATATATAAATATAAGTATTTATATTTATTATAAAATAAAATAATATTTACCTATATCACTTCTACTGGAGTAGCCAAACCAGTGCTGGGTGGAGGTGGTGGTCTACAGTGAATGGGCTAATAATAGACTGACTTACAAAGGAAGCACAAGCAAAGATTATGGGGTAAAAGCCAAAGACAAACAATAGCAATTCCTTGAAAACTCAATGCACTTGGCCAGAGAAGCAGAACTGAGAAGGGGACAAGAGACCAGCACTGTGAAACTGTGTGCTCCACGATGGAGGTTAGACTTATCAGTGTTTTTCTCAACTTACATTTAATGAGATAATTTGGACTCCAATGCCACTGCGTCTCTAATGTCACTGCTAATGTACCCAAGCAGTGACACATGAGTCATCTAGATGACTCAGGACTCACCACAGCCATCTATTTATGTAGCAGCACAGAGCTGGTCTTTTTCATGTTGCCTATAGGTGCACATTCTTGAACCTCAGAAAATATTATAATGCTTTTCAGATACATATATACAGTTTTCTGTATATGTGTGTACTTGTATGTGCTTGTGTCTATGTGAAGGTCAGAGAACAAATTCAGGTGTCACCCTCAGTCACGGCATGCACCTGCTTTGAGACAGGCTTTCTTTCTGACATGGTGCTAACTAATTAACACAGGCTGGCTAGCCAGCAAACCCCAGGGATCTCCCTGTCTCTGTCTCCCCAGGCTGGGATTATAAGTGCAATGCTACCACACCCAGGGTTTCTACACAGATTCTGAGTACAGAACTTGGGTCCTTATGCTTGGAATTAATTGAATAATTAAAGCATTTATCAACTGAGCCGTCTTGATAGCTCCAACTATTTGTGTTAAAAATCCAACTCCATATAATTTACTTGGAGATTGTGCACAAGCAAGTCTTCAACTTCTTGCTTCTCCAGATGTAAACAATCTAGCCCTGGGATAGCTCCTCCCACTCGGTGTAACCAAGAGTCTGTCCCTGGGATAGCTCCTCTCACTCAGTGTAACCAAGTTTATCTCCCAGAAACGCTCAGAAGCTTTGGGATTTATACATCTAAAAGCATGAACTAGAGAACTCCCTAGAATGCAACTAAATTCTCCAGAAGAGGAAAGAAACAGGATTCTGTATGACTTGTTTCTGAACACTGATAACACGGCCGTGCTAAAATGAATAGCAAATCCTAATCATGCCAAGATTATTTGTAATATGCCATGTTGAAAAAATGCAGAGGCAAGAAAGACACATGAATGTGGTGATCTAGGAAGGAAGGGATCAAACCTGTGTGGTTCATAAATACAAGCAGAGAATGACTAAGCCTGAAAGACAAAATAGTGACATTATATATTATTTCACAAGTGGAATCAGCCACTCCTACTCCTGCTTCTACTGTCTGAGCTATACCATTATTCTTACATATCCCCAGTTCTGGAGCCCCCAATTCCTGGGCTTCTGGGGAATAGAAAATGCACTGAAGTTCCCTGCCAGAGTCTGCTGCTGTCCTCTGTTTTCCTTTTCTTGATCTTCACACAGGATTTTGCCATTGGAAAACTTCACATGTTTCTCCTGCCAAGATAGCATGTGCTCATTCACCGTCATTTAATTTTAGAGGTGTTACAATCATTGATCACCCTCACTGGGAGAAATTTATTTTTACAGAAAAGATGAAAATTTGTTGTGCCTGTCATACAGCCCGCTTGGTGATTTTTATAAAGAAAAGTAAACTAAGCCTTTGTTCCTGCAGAGTATCTGGTCACGTGTCAGAAAGAAAGCCAAGAAACTAACTACATGTATAGGACGCCGCCTTTTGCTTTTCTGATCTAGGCTCTGGGAAGTTCATCAATCAGATGATGACAGGGCTGAATGGCACGGGCCCAGGAAAGCCAGCATGCAGGCTGAAAGAATATGCTTCGGTCCTTGCTTTGCCTTTTATTGACTTTGGGCAGTTATGCAGCTGAACTGTACCATTCATTCCTCTCTATAGAATGTGGCCATCCCAGGGCTGGCGTGAGGACTAAGGAGGAAAACACACACAGTCGCACTGTGTTTACTGTCAGGACAAATCCCAGCTGCAAAAGCTCAAAAGGAAATGCCAATGTCAAAAGGCTCTACTGACAAGGGCAAACACAGGACAGAGACAACCAAAGTTCTCTGAGTTGACAGGCAGGTGGATTTGTTGGAAGGTAGGAGCCATGATTTTGGTAAGAGGGCACTAGGGTGTGGCTATGTTTTAAAACACAGTCCTATCTATTCATTTACCCCACTTCACCTCCCCTAATAAATCATTCCATATTACTGCAACATCAATGAAAGTAATGCCCGGTTCTAAAATACCATGAATGTCTCATCAAAAGCCTAAGAAAATTGGGCTAAAACTGTTCACTACATCCAAATTCAGAGGATGTCATTTTTCTTTCAGTGAGGTCTGCCGTGTGGCTGGACACACAAGGGGATATGAGCCTCTCACCACAGAGCAGTGGTTCTCAACCTTCCTAAAGCTGGGATCCTTTAAATACTTCATGCTGTAGTGACCCCCAACCACAAAATGATTTTTGTTGCTACTTTATAACTGTAACAACTTTGTTGCTGTTATGAATGTGATGTTAGCAGCTGATACTTCTGATAGTCTTGAAGGGGTCCCCTGCTATTGGAGGGTAACTGGACACACTGTGGACATTAGTGCCTCTCACAGTGAAGGTACCCTTCTGAACACAGAGGTTTCACGAGGAGAAAAAAGGCGGAAAAAGGAATTTGTACAAAGATGGTGAAAAAAATCAATAAACCATAGCAGGCCCCCAGCTTCACTCAGAGCCCATGTATGGTTGATGGGAAGGGTCTGGATTTCCAGTCTATATAACACAACTGTAGTGCACACTGGACTTAAAAATATATTTTTAAAATTTATTGTTTGAGAATTTCATACTATGTATTTTGGTGTATTCATTACATTTTTGTTCTCTGAAGATTTGCTTAAAATATTTTAGAAGGCTTTGTGTAAAGACATGAATGATCACCATTTTGCTAACGTGTGCTGAAGTTCACAATGTGTTTTATATGTGTGTGTATGTGTGTATACATATTTGTGTGTATACACACAGATGTATACATATATTTATATGCATTTGTGTATGTATTTTACATACATGTTCACACGCATTTAATCGTGCATCCTTTTATGGAGAGTGGCAGTAAGCCTTTTGGTCCTTGCTCTTGACTGTTTTCCACATCTTTAATCCATGCAACAGTCTGCTCAGCACTTCGTATTCACCATCTTACCCAAAGGCTTCTTTCCTGGAGGGCACAGTGCTTAGTAGAGCATTGCTGATAAAGACGTCTTATCAATGCATGCAACAGATATAGGCATTGAGTGAAGAGCTCGTGTGTACAGGGAACTGAGAGAGGCCTTTGGGAGTTTCCTCTCTCACTGCAATGCACGCAACTCCTGGATGGCCTTTTTATTTTTGGTTTGCAGTACCTTATGTTTTTTCAACTTGTCAATCACAAGTATTTTCCAGGAAGAAACACACGCAGTATAGTGATGACTACTTGTGTAAGTGCAGTCAGAGCTCTGAGGAGCTGACAAGTGTGTGTGTGTGCGCCCCGTGTGTTTGTGTGAATGAGTGGAAGAGAGAGACTTGTGCATCCCTTCTCCATCTGGAACAGTGCAACACTCAAAGCTTCACAGTAACCGTTGCACATGGTGAGCTGGGACTCAATACATTCTTGTAGCAGTTTGTGGGTTCACCTGTCAGCCTGCGCAGCCTCACTGGCAACTTCCAGACCACTAAGAGACTCTGTTTCAGAAACAATACTGGATAGCTCCTGAGGAATGATACCCAAAGTTTTGACTTCTGCTTTCCACACTCCACACACACACCCCCACACCCCCACACACACCCCCACAGAGAGAGAGAGAGAGAGAGAGAGAGAGAGAGAGAGAGAGAGAGAGAGAGAGAGAGAGAGGCACACACACAGGACTTGAGATGTCATTCACACACTATAACATCTTTGCTTTATTCAGATGTTGAATCATTTTCAGTTGTACTGCAGTACTGCAGGGTGGTGTCTTAGAGCTCTGAGTGTCACTTCATTTGCTGCTGACTCCCCTCTCAGATGGCTACTCAGGGCGGGTGGACAGTGTCAGACAGCTGCCATTTCATTCTTGCAGAGGCTGTGCCATGTGGTAGTACTCGTTTTAGTATGATGGCAGGCGCATGTGGTTTACCATTAGAAATAAAAGTGCAGTTCTAGTGTTAAATTTATATCATTAAAGTAGACTTGGATAGCCCTATTTCATACTACCCAATTGAGGACGCTTTTTATTTATTTTTGCCATAACCACTGCCATAAACTCTGCCCAGTATGTGTTGAAGCATTTTTATGTTTTCTCATCATTCTTTCTTGAACAGACAACCTTGTGGTCAGAGTCCCTGACTCTGTGTCTCCTTGGTCCTTATGCATTGACCATATGTTTCATTTGCTTGGGGGCATTTATTGATAAACTCAGTCTGCAGATATTAGGAGTACAGAACCAGCTCTATTTCTGTCCTGTTCTATAGAAAGGATATAGAAGTCCACTGGGGCTGGAATTTTCAAAGTTGGTTTATCAAAGCAGTTATAAAACTAGATCCTAAGGGAGGAAGAGAATTAAGGTCATTCATACACACACACACACACACACACACACACACACATATATTTTCATTTTGGTTTGGTTATTCAGACCAGGTACCATGAGTAATTCAGGAATTTACTAAAAGACATTGATTGAGTCTTGTAAATTACAGATACATAGTATAATCATAGAAAGCCTTGCGAATATATAAAAGCATTTTTTGAGCTCTATTATTCTTTCTTGTATTCGTTGAATTAGAGAAAAGCACAGGGCATAAAATGTAGACAATTATATGTGTTTCTGCTCATCCAGTTACTTAGTCATCTATTTGTGCATTGGCGTGTGAGAAATATTGAGCACCATGACTTGCTGGACAGCATACAAAGTACATAGCTGTTGTCTTAAAAGACTTTGCCACATACTTCATGGAAATCTTGCTTCCATTTATATTCTGTATTCTTTTGTCTGAGTGTGCGTGAGTGCGGTGTGTGCAAGCTTGTACACACGCATGTGAAAGCCAGAGGTTGGCATCTAAGGTCCTCCTCAGTGACTTTCTGCTTTATTTTGTTGAGACAGGATCTCTCACTGAAGCTGGAGCTCACTGTTGGTGACACTTTCTGGCTAGAAGGTCTAAGCGAGCCTGCTGTCTCCTGCTTTTCAGTACTGGGACTACAGATGCGTGCTGCTGTGTCCAGCCTTTTACATGGATGCTTAGGCTGTTTCAGATTTTCTGCCAGGGCAAGCACTTCACCAAGTGAGCTCTCTTCTGAGCCTTTATGTCCATCTTGTAGAGAAAGACTGGAACAGCAGAGAACGTGAAGCTGCTCATCTCCCTCCAAGGCTAGCAGGTGCTGGCCGTGCAGCAGGCTCTGAAGTGGCCTCTGCTGACACCGAAATGGGGGAAGAAAACGCTACACCGGCAAACCTCTTGGCAACAGATTTATATAGAATCTTTAATTATATAGTATTTTAAGAAAGGCCCATTCTACTTACAGCTGATGGTTATTCCCAGTTCCACGCTGTGCTTCTTCGGCAGTTTTACGTGAAATGTTCCACTACTTGGGATGACAGACTCTGTAATTTCAAAACAGAAGAGAGTGTTTATAGATCTCAGAGGAGACTGGATATTGGGTAGGAATAGTCTTCTGAATTAAAACATTTCCATCCTGAAAAGCTGTTCATTAAGACTAGGGAAGTTCTAACATGAAACATTCCATTAGAGGGGGTAGGCTCCTTTAGATTCAGAGGTAAACAACTCACAAACCTCAAGAAGTCCCTGAAACTTATAAGATGATCCAGGTCGCTTGACTACTAAAGTTATAAAACATTAAGAACTTCTGGGGAGAGCGGGAACTGATCAGATCCATTGATCTGTGTGACCGTTGTATTGTGAGGTCCTGTGTTACTACTTTCATGAACTCTGATCACGCTGGGGTAGGCTTCTTCAGTGATTAGCTGTTTCAGAGTTGTCCATGCTCCGATAAGTAACTACTCACCTCTACTCCTGCACGTAACCCAATAAGTTCGTTAGTTTTCCAACTAGGACTTGGGTAGATCAGTGTTTGAGTTGCCATTGGTGCTCTACCTGGGATCTGTAATGGTTACTTTCTGAGCTCATCCACATCTCTACTTTAAGTCTCTGATGACTCGGATGTAGGCATCCTGCCTCACATCTGCAGCAGTACCTTTCTTCCCAAGATCCCCGGCATCTCTCCGACTTTACTCTCAGGTAGCTGCAACTTTCTAATCCCCACCTCAGACCTCTGCTGGCAGTCGGTCAGTGGCTCCCTCTCCAACCGTCATTCCACTCTCCTGCTGAGTACGTCTTCTTTGCAGAATACCATGGAATAAATTCAGTGATACCCTAAGAAAGCACCCTTCATCCAAGACTTTTGTAACAGTACCAAAAGCAAAAAAAAAAAAAAAACCAGCAGAAGAGGAGGATCATGGGATGACTAATCTAGCCTACTCTTACTGGTTCATCACCCCCACTAAAGCCTTGCTAACCCCCCAATAGACAAAGATCCAACTACAAAAGCTGATATTCAGGTAGAACTATTGAGCTCCCTGGTACCTAGTCCAATTTTTTCACTGCATGTGTAACACATTTTGCACAGCCTAGGCAAAAGTTAGGACTGGCCTCATGGAGAAAGTTAAGAGTCTGTCTTAAATTGCTCTTGGCCTTTTGTCCTTTCCCTTGAGAAGTTTAAGCAGTAAACTTTTTACAAGCCCAGAATCTGATCTTCCAATTTAGAAGGTTCACCACAGAGAGAGAACACAATAAAAATTTGATTTCCCTCAGCCCCTCCAGGATGCTAGAAAATCACCTGTGACAAAGACCCCTAACTGCCCATCCGGTTCAGGCTGCAGCATGGTCTTGTGCCCCAGCATCCTCCCTCCACTCTGCTCTTCCTTCAGAGGGATGAGCAAACCCGCCGACGTTCATAGTTCCTCTCAGGCATCTAAAATCTTCCCGGGACCAGTCCAGTGTCAAAGACTGACTCAGTATCTTTGCCTTCTGTTCTCAATGAACACTCTGATGTTCCAGGACGTGAACCTGCATATTTACTTATTTATCCATTAAGAATTTGCGTGTTTCCCATTTCCTAATGATACAGTAAGCATGGAATCTGCCTCTCGGTATAGACATGCCTTGGACCCCTCTCCTTCTGAGTTAATTCAGTCTGGCAGGTTGGGAGGTCAAGGGCCTGGATAGGCGAGTTCACTTTAAGATAAAGATAATATACTTTCCCTACTCAGAATTCCTGCCCCCTATTGCAGTCTTTGGAAGCTGTCCTGGAGTTCAGATGGGTCTGCCTGTATTTCTGTGTTAACAGAAAGGCCTGACAATTGCTTTTTCTTTTCTTCTATTTTTTTTTCCTTAGATGTGAGCCAGAGCTTAGGTTTGCCTTAAAACTCCCTAATGCAGCCGGGCGGTGGTGGTGCACGCCTTTAATCCCAGCACTCGGGAGGCAGAGGCAGGTGGATCTCTGTGAGTTCGAGACCAGCCTGGTCTACAGAGCTAGTTCCAGGACAGGCTTCAAAGCCACAGAGAAACCCTGTCTCTAAAAACTAAAAAAAAAAAAAAAAACAAAAAACAAAAAAACAAAAAACAACAACAACAACAAAAAAAAACCCAAAAAACCAACTCCCTAATGCTCTGGCTTCATTGCCTCTTTTCTAAAAGTTTCTCTTACCATGGGACCACCTGACACCAAGCAGCTCCTGTCCATGTCAACTTAACTTCTCCCTCCTTCCATTATAGGAGCTGCAAGATCTAAAATTGGCTTGCTCTAGAGTTTTCATTTTAAACTCTAAAAAAACTGTATCCACTTTCTATTTTATCCCATTGTTTTTCATTAATGAGATTATGAACACTAAGAGAGGACCCTTAATTTCCCAGTATCAAAAGCTAACTCTCCTAAGACTCCCTGAGATTTCTGGCAACATTTTTTTCCTACCTTTGTATCCTTCAATCACTCAAGAATATGAACCATTGCTTCTCTCCTAGACAGCACCGTGAAGATGACTAGAGGCAGACACAATTATTCAGTCAGGCAATGAACTTCAAAAAAAACAAACTAATTTTGATGCACTGGGGCAGAAATAGAAATGAAATAACTGATAATTACGACATTTTACTTTCTGATATCACATATGTCTGTGCATATTGTAACTATTTTCCAAATATTTCTTCTTTCCCTGCCTTCCCTCTATTCCTTTCCTAAGTCTTGATTGTTTAATATTCTAAAAACGGAAGAGACCCCCTTTCCATCCCCTAAGGGAGCATTTAAGACCTTGGAGGTAACAAGGAAACTGGGAGTGCTGAGTTTTTTGGTGCTCACTTGCACCAAAAGCTGGTCTGCAGAAAGAAGCAAGAAATAAACATGTGTGCACGGGTGCAAACAGGATCTTGGAGAGTGCCAATGTTAGGCACATCTGATTGGAGCCCCTCAGGACTGTGAGAGCTCATACTTCCAGACCCCCCCTTTCTGCCTAAATCAGCTGGGATGCATTTCTGATGCAACAACTGAAAGATGCAAAGACTGAGGCAATAGAGATGATGGGATGGGAGCACGCAGAAATCTGCCACCCAACTGCTTACAGGCTTAGCCAGCATTCTCCATTTGATTGCTTAGATAAAGCTGGCCTGGTCAGTAGTCCTTAAGAGTGCATGGAGCGACCCAGACACAGCAAGCAAGATGTGACTACCTCACCGAAAAAGTTTATTTCTATGATGAATTACATTGATAGATTTTTGTATGTTGAACCAGTCCTGCATCTCTGGGATAAAGTCAACTTGATCATGGTGATATGAGTATATATAAGTGACCCAAAGCCTCTACCAGAGAACTCCTACAGGTGATAAATACCTTCAGTGATGTGGCAAGATACAAGATCTACTCAAAAAAATCAGTAGCCCTCCTATACACAAATGATAAAGAAGCTGAGAGGGAAATTAGAGAGGCAACACCTTTCACAATCCACAAATAATATAAAATATTTTAGGGTAACACTAATCAAAGAAGTGAAAGACCTATTTGGCAAGAACTTTAAGTCTTTGAAGAAAAAAATTGAAGAAGATACCAGGAAATAGAAAGATCTCCCATGTTTTTGCATAGGTAGGATCAACATAGTAAAATGGCAATCCTACCACAAGCAATCTATAGATTCAATGCAATCCCCATCAAAATTATTCACAGACCTTGAAAGAACAATAATTAACTTCATATGAAAAACAAAAAATTCAGGATAGCCAAAACAATCCTGTATAATAAAGGAACTTCAGGAAGCATCACAATCCCTGACATCAAGCTCTATTACAGAGCTACATTAGAAAACAGCTTGGTATTGGTATAAAAACAGAGAGGTTGACCAATGGAATTGAATTGAAGACCAGGATATTAATCCACACACCCATGAACACCTGATATTTGACAAATAAGCTAAAATTATACAATGGAAAAAAGAAAGTATCTTCATCAAATGGTACTGACATAACTGGATGTCAACATGTAGAAGAATTAAAATAGATCCATATCTTTCTCCATGCACAAAACTCAAGTCCAAACGGATTAAAGACCTCAATATAAATCTGACCACACTGAACCTGATAGAAGAGAAAGTGGGAGGTAGTCTTCAATGCATGGGCACAGGAGACCACTTCCTAAATATAACCCCAGTAGCACAGACACTGAGAGCAACATAAATAACTGGGACCTCATGATACTGAGAAGCTTCTGCAAAGCAAAGGACATGGTCAATACGACAAAAAGGCAGGCTACTGAATGGGAAAAGATCTTAATTAACCCCACGTCAGACAGAGGTCTGATCTTCAAAATATATAAAGAACTCAAGAAATTAGACATTAAAATTCTAAATAATCCAATTAAAAAATGGGATACAGAACTAAATATAGAATTCTCAACAGAAAAACTCAAATGGCCAAAAGACACTTAAGGAAATGTTGAACATTCTTAAACATCAGGGAAATGCAAATCAAAACAACTCTGAGATACTCTCTTACACCAGTCAGAATAGCTAAGATCAAAAGCACCAATGATAGCCTATGCTGGAGAGAATTTGAAGTAAGGGGAACACTCATCCATTGCTGGTGGGAATGCAAACTTGTACAACCACTTTGGAAATCAGTATTGCAGTTTCTCAGAAAATTGGGAATCAACCTACCTTAGGATCCAGCAATACCAATAAAAATAAAAGTGCATGAAGCTCCATTATTTAGTATCCATCTCATATTTATTAGGGTGTTTTCATTTCTCTATTTTAAAAAAGAGTTCTCAGAAAATGAAGAGGAGCACAATGCATATTTATATTTCTGCCTCTGTGGATGAATATAACTCCCACAAATTGAGACTTAGAGTCACAGAGCCCAGGAAACACTGTCTGAGAATACTTGGTATTGAAACTGTTGCTTTCATAACATTCTTAACTTTTTACATTTATTTCTTTGTGTGGTGTTCCTCTCTTCTCCCTCCCCCTCTCTCTCTCTCCTTCTTTCCTTCTCTCTCTCTCTCTCTCTCTCTCTCTCTCTCTCTCTCTCTCTCTCTCTCTTCTCTCTCACTGTGTGTGTTGGTGGGGGGACATGGTACACATGTGGAAATCAGAGGACAACTTTTGGGAGTTGTTTCTCTCCTACCTTGGAGGCTCTAGATATTGAACTCAAGCTTGGTAGTAAGCGCCTTTATCCACTGAACCATCTGGCCTCCTTGCTTTTGTACAATTTTAATTCAGGAAAATCTGACAATGATTAACACCATTAATGACATCAGAGGACATATTATGACTTCCTGGAACAGAGTAATGTATCACTGTTGACTGTGTGTGATTTGAAAAATTCACAAAGGGGAATAAGTATCAACTAATCTCTTTGACCAAACTGTGGCTTCATTCTAATCTTTATATGCCAGTGCGATTTACTTTATAGTTGGTATTTTCTCTATATAATTATTTGGTTGCTAAAGCAAAGGAATATTTAATTTGGGGTTCATAAACAAATACGGTTAATGAGGAGAAGGCTCAATTATTTGGACAAACAACAGGTTTAGCGTCAGTGGATGTAATTCTGAAAACAAATGATGTTTATTTTGTAAGACCCCTGTGATTATTTTGCACTTCCTTGGTTTTGCTTCATCTTTGTTAAAACCATAATTAAAAACACATTTGGGTAAAAAGGTTTCCTCCTTTCCCATTGGTCTGATTTCCTGCCTGCAGCACTCATTGTCGGCACAGTAAGATAACTGCTACCGCATCATTTATCAGTCGAGGCACCCCGTGAGGAGTGTAAATGTTAGACTCTCCCCACTCAGATGAAAGCACCAGGGCTCTGGTCCATGGCCAACAGCACTTCATATGTTTGTGCAGAGACTTCTCACAACAGATACCGTCAGAGTGGAAATGGGAACTTGGAAATCTTGTGGTCTTCACCATATAGACTATCATTTAAAAGAATTGAATAAGTAAAATAGGAGAAGATGAGGGTCTAACTTCATAAAATCCTACCTAGGTAAAGGATTCCAGTAAAAGAACTCAAATAGTGATGGTGTTGAGTGTCTTCAGCTTTGAATGCCTCTCCCTGATAAACTTACTAAGGTGCTTGCATAGCCTTGCACTGCTGGTTTAAAAAGACAGACACAGGCAAGAGTGTGTTCGCTTTTAACCACCCCTACGGCATTTAAAATATTTATTAAATGGAGATCGCTGAGCACTGAAAGCCAAGGGCTGGAACATTCATCTTAGTGTGTAAAACATCCTGAGGCAGAACTCTGGAACTTTATGGCTTACATCCAGGCAATTAGGCATGAATCCAGAAGGAGAGGCCGGACTTGACAGAGCCTGCATCCACATATTCCTCATCCAGGTCCCAAGTTCTGAAATGACTGAAAAGGATTTGCTTGTTTCTAAAAGTTCCTAGTGATGATTCCAGTAGACAAGGAAGGACCTGGCATGTCTTCCTGAGGGTTTTAAGGTTGCATCTGCACCCATCAGGAGAATTAGTGTTATCAATTAGTGATGTCCACCATGAGCAACGGCAGGGGGATAACAGGTGGAAACACATTCCCCACCGGCCTATTGTAGATCACCCGAAATATCTATTTCATGACCTTTATTAAACAAGCTGGGTACTGAATAAAGTAGGCTTAATAGATATAGTTCCTATTTTTTCAGGAGCTTAAAGTTATTAAAGTATTAAATCAACAAATATTAAAAATATATATGTAGGCACATTAAGGATGCATGAGACACCAAATAAAATTCCAGGATATACAAAATAAATACATTTATAACACAAGCAAACACTTGGATACTGTGATAATCTTTACAAAGACGGCCAAATTGCACTGGTCATTGCACTCCCGTGTGTCATTACAGTCTTCTCCCCGAATTCCAGGTTCGAGAAGCCTGTTCTAACAGTTTCATGGTGGTGAATCTCTAATATTTCCTGTAATAATTTTATTTAGCAATTTTTTAAATCAAAAAGGTGGTAAAGCAATAGAGGGAAAATGGGCTGCAAGTCAATAGATTTAGTGTCTGCCAATCTCTATAAGACCTAGAGTTTCCCCACCAGAACCCCAATTCCCTCTTCATGCATAAAGCAAAGGTACGGGATAATTCTTTTAACCCTAATTTTCTGTCACAGTTGTTAAGTATACTCTGTGGGGCCACTGGACGGCTTTCTTGTTTGATAACTAAACCTCTCTGCCACTTGACTGATTCTTACAAGGTCTTTCTATCCAAGTCCTGCTGGATCACAGGAATTAGAAGGCACACACTTCAGAAAAAAATGGGTCATCTTATAACAAGAAAAAAGCAGATTGTAGAAGAAAGCAGTCCTAAGAGACCAGGACCCCCAGAGAAAGCAGATTAAAACCCAGTTCTGACACAAACAGACGTTCATAACCAAAGTCTCCTCATGGAGCCAAATGTGTTTCATTAATTCCTTCCTTCCCGCATTCACCGTGGACCAACTGAGGCCTGTCTATATTCTAAGCACCATTTTTCTCAGAGAACTTATAGTTAAAACTTCACACTGACAACCTTTTAAATTAAATTTCCATTTCTTTTAAAAGATATATGACGATGGGGACCTTTTACTCTCCTAACTGCCATTACGTATACATCGTGCAGGAGAATCACTGGCTCATGACAAATATTTGTTGGCATATGATCCTTGTGTCTAAAGGTATGCCTTTACCGTTTGGTAAAAATCACTGGATATGTAGGGCCCATATTTTGCTGTGTGAAGACAATCAATCTTCCCTTCCCTTCATTTCTCTCCCTCAATCCCTCCTATTCTCCCTTTCTCCATCCTTTCTTCCTTTTGCCCTTCTTCAGTGATGCTGGGTATCAAACCCAGGGCCATAGTTCACACTAGATAAGCTTTATACCACGGAGCTACCTTCCCAGCAGACAAACATCTATGAATGGTGGGGAATTATTTGGGAAGGAGTGGGATGGGATAACATGAAATAGGAAGGATAGTAGGGTGTGAACACAACCACAGTACATGTATAAAAATGAAAACACACAAAATTATTTTGCATCTTGACTAAAAAAAGCAAAAGTAAAAAAGAATACCTCAGAGTCAGGTTGGTAATCATTTGTACCCCTCCTTTGCCTCTGATACCTAAGGTTTCTCCTAGTATTTTTTTTAACCTGCTGGTTTCTATCACATTTATCTTGTTCATTGATTATATGTTCATCTCTACCCTCCCTGTCTGTATTTAGAGATGGTTTCTATCATCTATTAGAATCAATCCTCTTGACCCTGGTGAAATGATCTTGAGTGGAATCCTCCTTGTCATTCCTATAAGTGTCCAGTGCAATTTCTCCTTAGACTAAAAACCAAGTACTTGCCTACTGGCCTTGCTTCTATTCAGCCCATGAATTTTCACAGCTCCCTACCTAACTGTCACGTGTTCTCCACAGCAGGACCAGTGAGACAAGGTGTTCTTGTTGTTGAGCCTAAGGAATCTGGTTTCTCTAGCTCAAATGTGCAAAGTCAGAAAGAATAAAGGGGACATAAATTCTCAAAATCGCATCCACAGTGGACATTAATTGTCTGGCTTGTCATATCAATCTTCAGGTCTTCAGCGGAAATTTAATGAATGAAATAAACGATGCAAAATGACCGAATAAACCTCTTAAACAAAAACATGTTGGGTATACATATATAAATATATATCTTTATCTACACCCCCCTTGCTGACATAAGTCATGTGCAGCCCTCTCCTGACACTATCATGGACTTGAGGGTCAGATTTTACCTGCAACATCAAATTCAATCTCCAGTGTGACTTTGCTTGTAATGGAAGAGTCTCGCAGGAGCTGATTGGCTTCCTCGAAGGTGCTGTCTTCGGTTGGGATTCCATTAATGGCCATTACTCTGTCTCCAATCTGAAGCACCCCACATCTAGTTCAGGACCACATGAGAGAGGCTGCAGTTAGAGTCAACGATCATGGAGCTGCACTTGCCAATCTACCTCATTTAATCTCCGCAAAATAACATCACCATTTGATTTTCTAGAGTCAATTCTACTGGCAAATATGTTAGGTCAACTGCAATGCCCTTCACTCTTGAATCCCACGGTTACAACTGTGGTCAAGTGGGTTCTTAAAGATCCCAGGGAATTAATAATTTATAACTATGATAGCACTATAATCTGACTGGAATGAACAGATAGCAAAGATGAATGTTCATTCCTGCAATGCAGAGAAATAACTTCAGTTGGAAGCTAGCCACTTTTTGTATAGATTTTTCTCCTTTATAATTAATACAGCCTCTAGTTTTCCAGTGGACAAAATCTGCTAAATAAAATCATTGTTCCTCATAATGCTTCTCAAACCTGATAAAAACCATAAAATTTTATCATCAGAATGGAGAGTTAACTACATTTTGCTTTTGCTGCATTGAAGTGCTGTTTCATTATTTATTACTTATTCACAGATTGCTGGGGTTAGAAACGCAGGGCAGAAAGGCTGCTGGGAAGGGAGAGTGCCTCACCTCTCTGCTGGGCTGTCAGCTTCAATATAGGAAATCAGAGGCGGGGAGGAGAGCGTCTCCGTGGCAAACACGCTGCCCTGCAGTTGGAGTCCAAAGCCCGTGACAGGATCAGCTGTCAGGACCACCTCCGTGGTTTCTGTGTGAACAACCTGTCCAGCCAATCCCACAGTGCTAGAGGCTAAAGACACTAGAGGAAGAAACATGAAGAGGGTGACTGGAGGTTCAAGCAGGTATCAGCATTTCCAAAATAGAGTGGTATGTCTGAAGAGAGGCTCCCAGGCAATGGAGGGAGCTTAAATACTGGCCTTAGAGCAGAAAGTTGACTTCCAGCTTAACAGGGTAAATGCATCTCCCAATTTGTCAGACTGGAGTCATGACCAGTGTAAGCCACTCCATGTCCTCGCCCCAGAAACTGGAAGAGACTGTGAGAACAGGAAAACCCTGGGATCACAGCATGCTGTCTAGTCCTGGGCCGTGCAAGCCTCAACTGAGGAGGGCCTTGGAACAGGTCCTTCCATCCCAGGATTTCTGGACCCCTTTCTCTGGAAAGGAGATCTGGGATGGTGTCTCTAAGACTTCCCACCTCAACCCTATGCGACATGAACATGGCAACCTTTTGTTCTGAGGAAACAATTTCTATGTGGCCCCTAGAATAGTGAGGCTCTCCTGGTTCCCAGTCTTTCTCCAGTACTGGGTGCATGGTGAGCCATCCAAACTTCATACATTCCACTTGTCCCCACATTTGCTCCCTCTGTGTTTTGTTCCTTTTCTGCCCAGCCTCCAGCCACCAGTTGTCTCCCATTTCAATCACTTCTCCTGTACTCATGCAAGTCTCCAGCCGGACATCTCTGTCTTACTTGCATCCCCAGCTTTGGCAATGAAAGTGCCATTCCACATCTAGATGCCTCTCTTAGCTCTGGTCCTTGTGCTTGAACACACCATCAGTCTGCAAGGGTCCTTTGGCCAATGTCACCTTCTCCATGTGGGTCTTTAGCTCACTGTTCTAACTTAAAGTCACTTCCAACCCTGCTAAAACCAAAACCCATTTCTTCCTACTCTTTTACATGGGACAAATAGAGGTGGTTTTTGTTTTTTTGACACTCTTTGCTCTTCACATTTTTTCCCCTCTCAAACTTCTATTTAAAATTCTGTATTCTGTATATATTTCTGCTCCCTAATCTTTTAGGCTACTTTTCTACTTTTCCTAATTTCCCCATTTCCTTGCTGACTTCATGTCTTTACTCTCCCATATCGTAACTTTACCGATTCTCTGTCCCGACTGTGCTGACAACCGTCTAGCACACTGACTCCGTGGCTCTTCTGCTCCCTCAATGTCCTTCACTAGCAAACCCATCCTTCTTCAGCTTTCTGTCAACACAGCCCAGGGCTGTGCTCCACCTTCCCTTAAAAGATCGCCAAGGCCTTAATATTTGAAACCTCCTTTTACACCCAATGTGTTAGTGACTTTCCCAGCTTCCACAGTCTCAGTTTCTTCTCTATCTTGTTTGTAGTAGTACTTCCTGTTGCTTACCTTCATGCTGGCTGCTGTTCAAACCGTGTTACATGGGACAGAATTTTCCTCTTTAAGTGAAAGCATCCACAGACATAGCTTTATATTTTAAATATAAACAGAACAACACTCGCTGAAGCAGGGAGGGAGGACTCTAAAGCTCTTCCTACAGCCTCACACGAGACCCCAGGGCCGGTAGTTGGAAGCCCCCATCATCTACCTGTTGCCTTTCCTTTCTCTCATTTCTCTCCACACAGCACTTGGAAGCCTGGGAACCACTTCACAGAAGTGTCTGTAACTAGCAGAGCTTCTTAAAGGCTGCATGATTTGCTAATATACTCTGCATTCTTTGGTAACACCCAGTCAACGCTCCATCTATTACTGAATTGTTGAAACCTGCCAGAAAGGAACAGCAGCTCTAAATTCTTATTATGGTCTACTGGGCTCTAGAGTCTTTGTTGGAAACACACATGCCCCAAGTTAATTCCTTAAGTATCTATTCTGAATGCCTCCATCCTTACAAATGGTCAAATGTCACTTCCTAAGAGAATGAGAAGACTTGTCCCTGTAATGAGCATTTCTTAGGTAACATTTCAGCCGCACCTCTTCTGTCCCTGTGCTCCCACCGCTCTCTCTTTTTCTCTTTCCTCCTCTCCCCATTTCGAGGTTCATTCTTTCTTATCTTGCTTCTTTTCCCCCCTTGAGTCACGGTCTCACGCAGTCCAGACTGGCCGCGGGCTTACTCTCTGTGAATCTGAAGATAGCCTTGAACTTCTGACCTTCCTAAGAGCTCTGACCTCCCACGCGGTAGGATTGCAGGCATGGACTATCACAGCCCTTCTTGGCGACTTTTTGATTTTCTCCCCTGCCTAGCCCTTCGGGGATCCTACGCCATGGATGTGTCTCTTGCCACCTTTCCAAGCTTGCCCACTCACTCTCCTCGCTTTTCCGACCTTGCCCTGCAAAATTGCTCTGATTCTGACACAGACGCACACTTGCCTCCTTAGTCTTTGCTAACACTGCTCTCACTGATGACCCTGACTGCTAAAAATTCAGTGGCCCCATTTACTCTAACTGTTGTGCAGCGGCTGGCTCCAGGGACAGTCCCATCCTTGTAAATTGCTCTTAAGGTGTCGATGAAGATTTGGTATTAACCTCTTCTGTATCTGCCCCTGCTGTACCTCTTCCACCCTCTGGCCCATGAAACAGAGCTCAGCCTTGGTCCTGTGCTCAGTTCTCTCGTCCTTGCCCTCACCAGCCCTTACGTCCTCGGTGGCATCTTCTCTTATTTCTCTCCCTCTGGCTTCAGTGAGGAACTCTTCACCACAGAGACTTTTTCATCTACAGACATACCTCAAAGGACCTCAAATTATTTTCTCAATTAGGGAAGTAACCTTGACTTTCTCATTTATTCTCTTATGTCTATGGCAAGATGATCATGTTCTAGTCTTTTGGTCTTGAAATCTCAAAGCAGCCTTTCACTTGTGACTCCCTGTGCCCTCAAATCAATCAGTTGCTCAGTCGTAAGAGTTGTCCAGCTTTCTCCACTTTTCCTTTCAACACCCCAATTTGGGCTTTTATTTCATCCATTCCAGTAAGCATGTATCTGGGTTCTTTAATGCTCAGTGACTTCTCCATTCTATCGCTAAATGGTATCGCCTATATTTTGTACGTCAGTTACTTGATGCTGAGTCGTCATCAAGAACCAACAGTCATTCTTCACCTTAATTCTTCCATCATGGAGATCATTGGAACTCATGGATAAGGGAGGGAGAGGTGGATTATTTGATTGAGAGGTAATAAATAATTTGAAAAAGGCCTCTCATCATTCTTTCCCACCTGGACCACAGGTAACACAGCCTTCACTATGTGGGAACGCAGCAGACCACAAATCTACACTTTGCACAGGTGGTGGATGACCTAAAATTCTAACATGTGACTTGGCGCCAACATATTCAATTCTGATATGTTATCTAGTCTGATTTTTTTTACATGTGTGCATTTGATGGAGGTGGGTCTTGTAATAATAAAGAAACTGCCTCGGCCCTCATAGGACAGAAAATTAGGTAGGCGGAGTAGACAGAAGAGAATGCTGGGAAAAAGAAGCTTAGTGGGGGAGTCGCCATGATTCTCCCGCTCCAGACAGACGCAGGTTAAGATCCTCCCTGGTAAGCCAGCTCGTGGGCTACACAGAATATTAGAAATGGGTTAGAACAATATGTAAGAGCTAGCCAATAAGAAGCTGGACCTAGCCGGGCCAGGCAGTGTTTGAAAGAATAGTTTCTGTGTAATTATTTCGGGCATAACCTAGCCATGCGGGCGGCCAGGTGCCGGGGACGCAGCCCCGCTGCTCCTAATTCAACATGCATTTTGTTTTCTAGAGATAGTTTTTGTTATCTGTGACACAATACTGGAAGACACCATATCCTATTGGTAAGTGAAAGGTCCCTAATTGGGTTGAGGGTGACACTGAGAGATTGTTGGGGCTAAGAAGTTCACAAGAAGAATTATTTTGTTAACACTGTGAACAGACAGACCAGGCTCTGAGAGTTCAGATGCCAGCACCACAGACAGACAGCATGCCTGGGGCTTTGAAGACTCAGTTCCCTTTGTACAGCTCCTTAAGGAAGAGGGAAGACTGTGGGATCCTACAGCTAGGTTCTCTGATTTCCCAGCAGTAGGCAGGAAAGAGGGTGGGGATCCAGATGTGTGGTCACTTGTACCCCCTGCACATAATTCACCTCCCCATGGTAGAAATGCATGTACCTGATTGTACGCTGGCTACAGGTTTAAGGACCATACTCTATAAGGGGCCCAGATCAGTGTCTGGAGGAGCAGTAGGGCTATGGCAGGCACTGTGGTCTGAGAAGTAGCCTGGTATGGATCCCGAAGTTACATAAGGACCTGGATTAGGTTACATAAAGTCTCTGAACCTTTGGACAGATTTGCATAATACTCTCCCTCATTTGAGATCTTAATTTGATGCAGATATCAGGGATTATTTACCCAGAGTTATGAAGTATGTTTGAAGGCTGGGACGATGGCTCAGCAGTTGAAGGACCTTGGTTCACTTCCTAGCACCCACATAGGACAGTTCATAACCACCTGCACGTCCAGTTCTAGGGAACCTGGCAACCTTCTCTTCTCACATATATTCATGCAGTCACAGGCACATACACAAAAAGTAATAAACAATCACACCTTTTAAACCTCCTGTGTTTGGGTTGGTTGTTTCTCATCACCATTAAAAAAAGAACAAGAAAGAAACAAGCCGAGCCAAGCCGAACAGTAATAGGTGGAGTACATTAGACTAAGGGATGCCTTCCACAAAGGAAGGATGAGCTACATGTGTTTTGACTTGGGGAAGATGGTTGGACAATTTTTATTTAATGTTCAGTAATACACATGAAGAATCCTTCGATGAGGGTTTCTTTTACCTGTAAGCTCTATTTAGAGACAGTTGAAGTGATCTAGGTGGACTAGACCTAGGATTGAAAATAAATTATGTACTGTACATTGATTTTATAACTATCGGAATTTATAATTCATAACCCAAATATATAATTAGATTAAATAATTTGGGATTTTTCGGTTAATTCTCAAAGTTCTCTGACACACTGGGATCTGTCCCCTCAACAGGAAAATTTCACCGGCAGTTAGGATACTCACATGTATTAAATTCTTAGGAAGCTCTACATTTGAAGAAAGATAAATTATTGACTTAAAGTTCAAAAGCCAAAGGAACACCCACAGCAACCTGGATAAGGTGGCCGAGGTTAGCCTGCTTCGTCAAGTGGTTGGCCAGCAAAAGGCAGAAAAGCGCTTTCTATAGTTTGAGATTTGCATGGCAGATTCTCTAGTGTGCTTTTCAGATTCCCTGGCTCTTCCCCATCACCAGGCCCATAGCTAGATCTGCTCGCAGTTCTGTAGGCTTGCAGGGAACAAAGTCTTCAACTATGTCAGTTTCTCTCAATGTAAGGGAGGAGGGCAAGGGAAGCCAAAGGTAATCCATGGTTTTTAAACTTTTGGCTCTTGAACGTTTATTTTTAATGGGTTAATTATAGAGACTGTGAAATTTATTATCAGCTAGAAAAAAAAAACATTTGAAAAGTTTAGAGAGGAAAAAAAGCCCAGGGGTTTGTTAGGATAATGTGTTTTGTTGTTTGATCCCGTGATTTGAGACTTCTGCTCACTAAAGCCCCAGGGTTGAGGGTGGACTGCTGTGGACCCAACAGGCTGTGAATCTTATGACCCAGTTTGCGAGTGGAGTGGAGGATGGCCAGCTCCTTCACCACAGAGAGCTGGAAGGGTGTTGGGCAGCGTCTAAGCCGTTTCATTTCCGACTCCTTGCATGGCCACTTGTGCAAGCTTACCATGAGCCGCATTTTTCTTGTGTCCTTTTCCTAGGGATCGATGGGAAGGATGGTGAAGATTGTAAGGTTTCTTCATCTCCTTCCTTTCAGCTATTTTCAGTGCCACCCTCTCTAGCAGCAAGTGACAGTGGCCACAAAGACAAAGGACATTCTGCTGTTTGCTATTATCCCGGCCAACTGGGAACAGGCACCACTGTCTCTCTGCACGGGCAGGAAGGGCCAAGCTAGATGCGCTGTGGTCCAGCTGCTGGCACTGTAGGTGATGGGGTCTAGAAGAAGCCCTGACCTTGGTGGCTGGACAGGGAGCAGCCCTGGCAGTGGGGAGGGGCCTGGAAGGTTCCAGAAGTGGGACTGGGTTTCCTCTGTGACATAGCCTGGAGCTGCTCCTGGGCTTTGTGACTCCACCCAAAGCCCAGGGCTCACAGAACTCATCACTCCCCCTCAGAAACAAGCACTACACCTTGTGGCTGTCACTAACATATTGCTATAGATTTTTCTGTACCTTCCTCTACGGATGATGAGGGTTTCAATATTTATGTGAGAATATGTCATTGTTTCCTGGCAATGTCCTTACTTTATCTTGCAAATACATGTAAGAATATTTGTTCTATTTTGTAAACCATAGCCTCATCAACAATAGAGCAAAGAGACTTTATTATCTTTGTGGCTTTCACTGTGAGTCACCATCCATGGATGGCCTGGTTGCTATAGAAACATAACTATTAGAAACTAGACAGCAAATGGCAGCCTGGAATGAAGACATAAATAAAATAGGGGGAGAAACCAAAGTATATAGTGAGAATGGTAATAAAATTTTTATTTTCATTTACTTGGGGTCTTTACATCTAAAATAGCCATATTAAGCAATAAAACGGAGAAGAGAAAATCTTAATAACCCCCCCAATTGGAATACTCTCATTTTTCATGCATTTTAAGTGGGACAAAAGTTCACACCATTTGGGCTCTACTGCTTCGTTAAGATATAAAGTATCTGATTTCCTGAGACACTTCTATAAACATCCTGCTATATACATTGCCATTGGGGCCTTAGTGGCTCCCATCTGCAGGAAACATGACCTGGGAATTTTTCAACCCAGGTTTCTGTTTATCTTTTTGGCTACAGTTGAATGATTGAATGTTGATTCAAAAGAGAATCTATGTGTGGGGGAAGGGAAAGGCAGGCCTCGCCTCGGCTTTGTTTCTTGTTACAAATATCAAGGTGTGCAAATAATGTGAGACAGACAGATGTATTAGCATTCATTTGCATCCACTAATGAACTTATTCAACACAGCAACCCTCACCTAACAAATGGTTAGTCTTCAAAGCAGAAAATCAGGCATTAATGAATTGATTTTGATGACTCTGTCCTGCAGAGGGATGTAGCCTGTTTCTGTCAGTGATGAGCACTGCACTTGAAGATATTATAATATATAGATATGTACATATACATACCTACTTCAAGTCCTGGAGGCACTGTATGAAAAACTCAAGATGTGTATTAGGGCAATGTAAAAGTAAATCATGAGCCTGTCCCTTTAAAGACGGTGGTCGCTACAGGAGGCCAAACTCACAGCTCTAACAAATAAAGCTTCCCTGTAGCTCTCCAATTGGTTGTCCACTGTTTAGTACTACAGTTTAGTTACTATAGTTGTTCACATTTTCAGCAGGGACATGGAAAGTCTAAGACACTTGCTCAGGGTCCTACTGGGGTGACAGGCTTCCAGTATGCAGAGTCAGGCTCATAATCAGTTTGCTGTGCAGCTGCAGCTGATCTAGGCCAAGACTAAATAATTTACTTTAGCCTTAGGAAGCAAATGGAAATCTAAGTGTTTTTTGTTCTCTTTGACTAAGTTCATTCTTTCACCTTCTTAACTTCAAATCATTGTTAATTTTATTTACTAAAGGTGACAAACCTTATATTTGAACACATATTTTATTTTTAATGTGTGTGTGTGTGTGTGTCCATTTTTCTGTCTGTGCCTGTTTGTTTTTCTATCTGTATGAATGCAGGTTCCCACAGAGGTCTGAAGATGGCATAAGATCCCCTGGAACTGGAGTTACCAATGGCTTTGAGACACCTGATGTGGATACTGGGCATGGAACCTGGGTCCTCTTGCAAGAACAGAACACATCCTTAGCCACTGACCTATCTCTACATCCCCCAAGTTTTACATTTGAAAGAACCAACAAGTCAAAATTTATGTGTACATCACCAGGACATCAAAGATGCTGACTGTGTCTTTTATTGTGGTTTTCTTTATACTGAAGGCTTCAGTTTCCCAACCTTAGAAGAAACGTGTCCTAGAATGGGTAATAGCTGCTCTCCCCAGTACTAGAGGTACTGATGGACTAGAGAGTTCTTCTCGGGATACGAACTCTTAGGCACACAAACTAAAGAGTCAAAAGACCCAACAACCACTCTATCTCTTGTTGGCGCCACCCTTGGGATTGCTGGGTTTGACATCATTGAAGTAACTTACAGATGCCCCTCTACTTCATTCCCATGACAGACACAGAAGTAGACCCCATCATCTTTAGGTTTCACAGATGTCAGCAAGATACAGGGCATGACATACACTAAACTGTGATTTTGGATCTGGCTGTTAATAGGGGCATTTTCTCCCTTTAAACATGATTAAGGTGAAAGATACCCATATTCTTTAACATAAAAGAAAAAATAGGGGTAGTCTATGTTTCCTCCATATAGAAACATCCAGCCACTTCTTTCTATACAAATCATGCTGTTTTAAGCAAATGGTAACACTTCCTTAGACTTTTTTGTCTATATATGCTTAGCTATCTATTCTAGGAAATATTTCAAGAATGAGAATTGAAGTTCTTAGACCTTAGAATGCTTTTGTGAATTTTTGCATCCTTGTAGTTTTCTTAATTCTATAGTTCTTAAACGGACACAGTATCAAAGTGCCTTCTAAATATGCATCACTACACCATAGTCTAGTGCAGCTCTGATTCTTCAGGAGAGAAACATCTTTGTGTGCTAGGTGGAAGTTAATACAGAAATGTGTAACTGCTTAAAGTGAAGAGAATAAGTGTCTATACATTTATATCACCCCCACACACACCCCAAGGTCCAGGGAGCATCGAGGAAGATGGTGAAGATTGATTATAGGAGCTAGAGGTAGTGGATGCCTGCAGCGAAACAGTATTTTCCCAACATGACAGGCCACAGAACACACACTCATAGCAGCTGTGACTTCCCGTACTAGACCTATACAAGATCAAGCCAGTCAACATTCCAGGAAGAATTGGGAGGGGCACAAAAGCTTCCACTTGCCACCAAGGAGGTATTGACAGTCACTGTTCTTCAAGGTTGCAGGCCCGGGGTAGGTTCAAAGTTCTAGTGGATGCCCCATGCATGTATGGGCAGCATTATAGGAAGTTAGGAGAAGAACATGGAAGAATTCCAAAGTAGTTGGAGAGGGGTTGGAGGCATTTATATGGCTAAAATATATTATATGCATGTATAAACTTTTAAAAGAATAAATGAAAATATTATATTAAAACCAAGAAATACATGCAATAGAGGTGATTCTCGGTAGGATAGAATAATAACAAAACTAAAGGAAGCTTTTGGAATGAGAATTTGAAAAGAAATGCTCAAACTTACTGTTTTGAAAGAAGGTCAAGAAATAAAATATGAAATTTATTGGTTAACCAAATTTACAAGACTCATACTTATCACACGAGGGACAGAGTTTGTACAAAACTTCTTTAGAAGGAATAAGATATGAGCAATAAATGTTTATGCCTGGAGCTACCCAGAGTCGAAAGGCACCTCAAATTTCATTAAAAAAGAAAAGAAACAAAATTGTTATAGGCAAAGCTGTTGTAGGAAAAGGTAGTGCAAGCTAGATCAGTTTGAAGTTATATTCAGGGTACACGTTACCACACAGATCATGGGTTTCAGTCATGGTCTTTAGCCAGAGCTATCGGCTACAGTCTCCCTAATTACCCCACCCCTTAGAGTAAGCACACATTTCCTGGAGACCAATGGGTCGTCTGGTCAGCATTTCACTTACATGAGCTCTTGAAGTCCTTCTTTTTCAGTCTCCTCCTCATCATGGTTCCTCGTGGGCTGGTGGAGTAGAGGCTTCGAGGTAAAGTCCCCATGTTCAGGGAACTCAGGCTGTATGCGCTCATGGAGGTAGGGGAGGACGAGGACACCATTGCGGCTGGAAGAAAGTGAAGACTTGGCATGGAGCATTCCCAGGTGGGGCCTGAGCCTGCCACCCTTGCCAACCAGCAACAACCCAAAGAGACATTAGGACACAGAGCCACGGTTAGTCAGTACCCACATCTGGACAGAGACCAGGCCCTGGAGCCAGCACGTTAGAATCTGTCACACGAGTTTGTAACTTTTGAGGGACAGGGTCCTCCATAGCATGTGGGTGCACACAGACTATGAATTTTACTCTAGACAAAGACAGAGATCGGAACAAAGTCCTCCACTGATAACTTAAGACACCAGTGTACACAGTGCCATTTTGTGGGTATTTTCTGACATGGATGTCTTAAGTGATCCACATACATGGAGATCTGAGACCACCATACTTCCATGTTCTGTGTTGTCTTCTGAACTGCATATAAAGCCTTCAGAACATTTATACATTTTCTCCCTGTACTGTTTTTGTGGTGCAGGGGACTGAACCTGGGGCCTCACACATGCAAGGCAGGTCACCTATCATCAAGAGACATTACTGTCTCTTGCATCCTTTTTAAATGACAATGGAAAAGGAGAGGCCAGAAGCCAGAAACAAGACATGTTGTTAGTACAAAGAACTAACAGGACAAGGGAAAGCAGGCAACACGCATGAACCAGAGATGTAGTGAGTTAGGGAAGGAGGCATAAGGAGAGGAGACTCTAATATAGACCAGGGCGAGAAAGCGTGGAACATTACGAGGACTGTTTGGAGGAGGCGCTTTCGGGAAAGTCAGGGCTGGCACTCTGCAATGGTCTGGGTGGTACGAGTTATGGTGATGGTTGGTGTGAAGGCTGCACGGGTTGCTGGCCCAGGATTCCCAAGGAAGTTGTCTGTTGCTCCTTTGAATTTTCACTGCCCATATGAAGTGATGATGAGGAATAAAAAAACAAAGAACCGAGAAACAGAACAAAATGAAAAACAAAAGAAAAAAAGAGGAAAAAGTAACTGAATTGCACAAATTAAAAAAAAGACAAAGAAAAATTGTTAACAAAAATGAAAGCTGCTCGTAAAGGGGGGAGGGGGAATCTATTTGGCTTTGCCATTTTCTCAGCGGTCAGCAAAAGAGATGATTAACACCAGCCACGGAGACTTTTCATCTTCCTGAGAATAATGCGTGTCTTTCTTCCAGTCCATCTTTTCTCTCTTTAAGATGACTACTGAATCAATTTCTAATCTCCCCCTGCGCTTCACTGCAGAGATTAAAAAACATTTTTTTTTAAACTTAAAAGTCATCCCCATAAAGATCTATGGCACACGATAAGTAATTAAAGCTTTGCAAATCTCGGTCAGTTCGGAGCACTTCTTTGAAGAGAAAGAGGAGAAGGAACAGTTTATCATGCGGACTTGTGATGTGTGGCTGTAAGAGTCACAGGCACAATTTACTACCCCGATGTTTTAATTACACTACTATCCATCACGGGCACTTGATTTTCCTCAACAATAAACTGTAGACATCATCTGTGCCTATCAGAATCTTTTTTCTTTCCTGATTAATAAGGAGAAAAGTTTCAATGTATTTTTGTAATTTTTTAAAAAGTTTATTTGCATGAGAAACATTTGGTTTCATGTTATTATATTTTATTCATATAGCATCAAGATTGTAATGAGTTTAACTTCAAAGTTAGCAAGTTTCCATTCTGAATTTGCTGTTGTTAAGAGTTGAGTTCTATGGTGGGGATGTGATGCAATTGGCAGATTGCTCCGTCAGCTTACAGGAGCCCTGGATTTGGTACTTAGTGTGCATGGCCCAGGCATGGTGGCACATGCCTATAATCCCAGCACTCAAGAGGTGGAGGCAGGAGAATCAAAAGTTTAAGGCCTTCACAAGCTACATAGCAAATATGAGGTCAGCCTGGGCTCTATTTTTTTAATTTTAAACTTTATTATTAAAATGTTGCAAAAATGTTCATACCCTGAAGTTAACCAGACCAAAGAATTTGCCTTCAAAAGCAGGAAAAATTAAATTTCTCTCTGGCATTCTGGAAAGTGAGTAGTAGTATCTCTTTGTCACTATGTCTGATAGGGAGATTTTCACTGAATGATCTCGAAGGGCCGAAAACAGCCGTGAACTCTGATTGGCTTTTAGGATTCTACAGCTAAGAATCTGCATGGGTTGCAGTAGTTCCTCCCAGAAAGTGTTTGAAGGCTTTGCATGCATGCAAATGAATGTTCTAAGGTAAGGGCTTGGGAGGGCATCACCGTTCTCATCCTCTCTGGAGGGGGGAGTCACAGCAAATGCTCTAGTATGGACGGATCTTCTGGAGTGAGCCTGCCCTGGGCTTCACTGACTCGCCTTTGTCCTACACCTTCTCTTTGATCTTGCCAGCTAATCAACCTCAGCTCCAATGTCCTCAGAGTCACCGATCATGAAAACATCTATTCCTGCGGTGGGAATAATGCACATACATGTTCAGCATGGTGCTGATCTACAGAATACAGCCAAGGAGCTAGGAGAGACAGCACCGTTTCTCCCTACGGTGCCATCTACTTGCCAACAACAAAACGCCATTAAAGGAAATACGCGATCTTTGTCAACAGATTTTACTCTCTTGACACTTAGAATTTAGAAGACTTATCAAGCTGCTATAATCTCATGGTCTGGAACTGGACCTATCCTTCTGCAGGAATAGCTGGTTTGGGATCCCTGTGTCTATGAATTCCCTGGGTCTCACCTGCCATCTCCTTTGAGACCAGTGCAAGACTGCCACACTTAGCCCTCTGACCCACATCCTGCACCTGCTTTCCAGGATCTACAACACACGGAGGGGAAACTTTTAAATGTATGCCTTCAGTCATGTCATTCCTGTGTCCATGGCTTATGGTGCAAGGAGAATCAGTCTATACTTTCTAATTTTTTAAAAAAAGATTTATTTATTTAATACATATACATGCTGCAGGTCAGAAGAGGGCACCAGATCTCATTACAGACGGTTGTGAGCTGCCATGTAGTTGCTGAGAATTGAACTCAGGACCTCTGGAAGAGCAGTCAGTGTTCTTAACCACTGAACCATCTCTCTATTTTTTTTCTTGGATTATTCACCATTTATATCTTCCAGCCACATTGGACTTATGCCTCTTTGAACAAGCTGGCCACCTTCCTTGTTTCATTGTGGCTTCTGTGCCTACTTGGCTCCTTCCAGCTGCCTGTATGGCTAGCTCATTATTGAGGCCTTAGCTCTGGTGCTCTCTCTACTGAGGAACTGATGCTGACCTTGCTGGCTGAAGCAGTTGCCACTATCATATTAGCTTCCACTAACTGTATCCTGCACATCCCTTATTACTGTCTGAAATGGCTCTAACATACAATGCATGTTAACAGTCTCTTTATATGTGCACCCTGGAAGAATACAGCTCTGTTCATTTCGCTTCCAAGACATAATGATTGACATCCGCGTGGCAGCAGCCTTTTCCTTGAGATAAAGGAGCATCTTAGGCAAGACTTTAGTGGTTTTTGCCCCCTCCCCCCACTATCTTTGTTTTACTTTGTGGCACAGGGCACCTTGTAGCAACATGCAGTGCTGCTAACTTACAATCACAGCCTATTGTCCTCTTTACGAAGGGTTGTCTGTGTTTCTAACGAAGCCAGGCAGGAGTGAATGGACTTCAGAATTCCACACCCACCTCAGCTCTTTACTGAGGACTTTGAAAACAACTGAACATTTAATCAAACCATCAAGCCAAATTAGTGAGCCCATAAGGCAGGTATTGCCAATTACCTATTGTGTGTTTATCCCCGTGCCAGTTGCAGTAGGCAGGCACTCATTTACTTAGCTATGCAATCATAGCTGTACATGTTCATTGAGTCCTCTCTGCATCCCAGGTGCTGTGTTAGCTGCCTTTCATGAAAAGTCTCAGGCAACGCTGCTTCTAGTATTCGGATGAAGTGAACATTACCATAACCCACACTTTATAGATAAAGAACTTGAGATACAGAAGAAGTTGGGTAGCTGTCTTAAGGTTCCATGAGGTGGCATCAGAATGAGATCTCTGGAAGTCTGCTCTAGAGCCTGGCCCACTGAACTGAACTGCCTCTTCCTGGAGAGGCTCGTAAAGCCCTTCTTCAGCTGAGACAGCAAGCTGAACACACAACGCTTCCTGTGCCAGTGCGCTGTGGCATTGTTGTTACTGTCTCAGGTGCATACACCATCCAGGGCTGCTACAGTCTCAGGTGCATACACCATCCAGGGCTGCTACAGTCTCAGGTGCATACACCATCCAGGGCTGCTACAGTATCAGGTGCATACACCATCCAGGGCTGCTACAGTGTCAGGTGCATAAGCCATACAGGGCACTCTCTTTGTTTTCCTAATTATGTTCTCTTGCCCTTCCAGGATGGCTGAGAGAATGGGTCACAATGAGTCTGGTGGTTGTCCCCGGAGATCACAGAATGGAATATTCTGCTTTAAGCAGATTAAGTCTAGTGACCCTGGCTACACTTGCTTCCCTTCAGCCCCTTTTCCTTCAGTCAAGTTTATGTCTCCTAAAGACCTGCAGTGGGAAAAATTTCAACCTCAATGAAAAGTGTTTTTTTTTTTTTAAATTGTATGTTGGGGATGTAACTCAAGGCCATGCACATGCTTAGGCAGGCATGTTCCTCTGAGCTGCACAGTCTTCTCTGAAAAGGCCAGCATTGCCAGTGTTCTGGAGACTGCTGTCTACCAGGAAAGGGGATAGTGGACCTCTTATCCCGAACGGGCTCGGCCTCTCCCACACTGTTTCGGAATCACTGTGATGAATGCTTTGTTGCTAACGAAATTTGGAAAATGTTGGATCTTCATATTTTCATGAGATGAGAGACACAGGGCCCAGGCATCACAGACTGGAAAAAGCAATCAGAACTTACATTTTTGGAAGAATGGTGAAAATATGTCAGACTGAACTAATACAAGATATAATTATGTTTAGGTGCCATTCTTTATTTCTTTTAGTGTCTGCTTTTAACATAAAACCTAGGGGAGACACTCATAAGCTAAATAAGGTAGACAGTCAGCTCTAGCCTGCTAGCCTCCTACCGTACACATATGACATCAGCACTTTCAGGAAAAGAAAAACAATGTGTTCTTGCTCCATACAGCTCAGCATATAAATTCTTCATCTTTTCAAATTATTTTAATATTTCATGAGTTGGAAACTATTTGAACTATTTGGATTTGTATCAGGGTAGAAAAAGTAAAATAATGAGGCTGCTAAAAAAATAAAAAAACAGTAAAGTTTTGAAAGGGTTTGCTCACATTTCTGATTTACTGATTCCAGACATGAGGTGCATCTTTCTAAAAAAGTACAGCATGTAATCTTAAGCCTTCTGTGCCCCAAATCCAGTGGTGACTTCATATACACCAAGAAGACACTCACACAGTTTAAGACATCCCTGCCTTGAGGGCTTGGGGTGAGACCTGCGTGCGTTCCCACATCCCTAGCCTCAGCATCCTATTGCTCCTTGGAGCCTCCATTTGACTCTGCTGATTTCCAAACTAACCTGCGTATGTTGCACCATTTCCCCACTCCAATGTATCAAATTAAAATCTGATAAAGGCAGCGTGCTCTACTAGAGATTATCATTAGCTCCAGGGCTGTCTAAGCTCCATTTAATTAAAAAAAGGTTGCATCCAGCTGACTCAACCAGTATGAAAATTATTTCATCCTCTTTTTTTTTTTAATCCCCCTGTAGAGAAGCACAGCACCTTTTAGAAGGTGAGAAACGCAATGCAAATGACCTTCCCACAAGCAACATTCCAGTGTTAGAAAACTCAGCTGTCACTAACTGTAGAAAAGTGCATACTCCTCTTTGAGTATAACTGGCTCAAAGTGGGGAAGCCTTCCTGTTCCCAGGACTGAAAAGGGGCGGTGGCCTGTGCTTTAGTAAATAAGTGGGAACGGGAGTATGAAGGAAGACTCCACCAGACACACTGACTTCCTGGATTCGTGACTCCAAGTCTTGTGTTTGTTAAAGATGCCCGAGTGGATGGTTTTATGCATTGAGAAAGCTTATCTGGACCCTACGGCCAGACAGTGAGGATGCAGATCCCCTCGGCTGACTCTATTTACTGCAAGGGGCCTACCATTCTCACTTCCCTGGCATGAAGTCTGGCCAATGTGTTCTTTATCCTGGGGGTATAAATATTCCAGAAAATAGACAAAAAAACAGAAATCAACACTTCATGCAACTGTCTTTTTCTGATGACTATTTAATATATTGCCTATTAATATGAATTTGTTTTATTCTACTTTAGGATAGTAAAAACATTTCATTCGGAGACTTAATGATGCCGGGAACAGGCCACAAAGGCCAACACTATCTGAAGTCCTTGGCAAGGCAGCTCTTCCTGGTCTCCTGGCTACAAAACGTACTTTTGGTTTTACATTTTTGTTTGTTTGTTTGTTTTATGAGTCTTAATGCTTGCTTTCATTGTCCTTTACAGACAGTCAAAATTCCCTGTGACCACCAGGAAGTCAAATCATTTTCCTTCTCCTAATACTCAGTTTGCATCAAAGTTTAAGCAAACACAAAAAAGTCAAATAGTTTGAGCCTCAGATTTCAATCTCAGAATTTCTTTCTTCTTTTTCGGGCTTTCCACTGACTATAAATGCTTGTAAAGGGGACCCCGCAGATACAGCAGGGTGAACGAAGCCAACCTAATGGTATGATAAAGGGAGGAGCATGTGTCTTCCCGACTCTCTGTAAGAAGAAAGCTGCAAGAGCGAGAAAGAGAGAAGGGTGCAGAAGGCTCGTCTCACCATGGTCAGGTCCCTTCAGGGCCAGGCGGGTCTGATGGTGCGGGAGAATCTCCAGCTTCACCTGGTCGGTGGTGTTGGCCAGGAACTGGGTGGCTTCGGCGAGGGTACAGCACTCCATGCTTATGCCGTCGATGGAGAGAATGTGGTCTCCTACGTGCAGCGCCCCACATCTGTGGGGAGGAGACACGGCGGCATGGAAAACCCTTCTCTTCAGAATGAGACTTTGATGTTCTACAGAGTTAGAGCCTTAAGGAATTATCATTACTTTCAAAAATTGAATGTTAGTAGAAAATATTACCTGTAGAAAATATTTGAGCCATGTCGGGTCTGAATTGGAATGGAAAATTTTTGTGGAAAAGGCAGAAAAATCTGAAGGAATGATTTTTCTTATTTTCTTATCTTTGAAAATATTTTGTCCTTAAACATTTTGGGGTGGGATGGGGAAGAAGGCAAGAGGGGTGAGGAGAGGAGAAGAGAATTTTTTCCTCCTGAGTTTGTTCTCTTTTTTTCTCTTAGGCTCTTCTATTCACAGTTAGCATCTTAAGATGTGCTACAGTGAACTGGCCTACAGTCTCATGTATGAGGATGATGAGGAGTTTCAGTTACTGCTTCCTTCAAATCTTTTAAAAGAGGCTTCAATTTACCAGCTCTTTATTATGGCCTTCTGGTTTTTTTGTTGTTGTTGTTTGTTTGTTTGTTTGTTTTAAATCTGGAGTCAACATTAATTAGCACAAAATAGAAATTACGCAGGACTTCAGAGTAATGAAACTAGACTTACATGGGGAGTTGGGGGAAAGCTAGGGGGAGGAGTCTAGCTGCTACACCTTGCTGGAGAAGACACAGGTTGGCTACTGGATGAACTGAAAGTGGTAGACACAGCAGTCAGCACCCAGGCAAGTGGACAGCTCCCCACACTGGTAACCCTTTGTGGAATGAAACCAAAACAAAACAGAGGCAGGCAGCTGAAACACCCTGCACTAGCGACCTGGAGAAGGTGCCTGCATCAGTGGCTACCACTATGACTAACCACACAGAGTGGGCAACAATGGCACTATAGGGCACCCACTCCTTGGGTTGCTGTGCAACAGCAGGGCCAAGGGAGAAGGAGGCTGGAAATGTAAATGGTGGACTAGCTGAGTCCAGCCAAGGGTTTCCATGGTGAGAATCTCCTGGTCAGGGCAAGAACATTTCTAGACCAACCTTCCATCTGGAAATAGTGGTCTATGGTGACTCACTTCGGGTGCTCGAGCATGAGAAGTGGGGTTTTCTTACCTGGAGCTGTAAAATAATTTTATTACATGAAAAAGCAGTCTTTTTGCCTCTTCTGTCTTACAAAGATAAAATGTGAATCAGAAAAATGAATTTCATTTTTATCATAACACTGTAATGGTGTCTAAGGGACCCTTGACTGGAGGTTGTGAAGCCATGAAGATTAACAAACTATGACATTATCAGGCTTGTCTTTAAAATGCACATTATTCTAAGAATATTGTATTACCCACTTTTCCAAAAAGGAATCATATCTTCTGACCACAGGATTTAATTGATAATGATGCAGAAAAACCCATGACTTCTCCGAACAGGTCTGGATAAAGATCAGTGCTTTTAGCATGTATCAAAACCAGAACTTATTTTTCTGAGGGCACAGTAAATAAATGCGTTTGTTTTTCTATTGAAAAGGGGCACACCAGAAGTCTGGATGAAGTGACATCTCATAACGAAGTGGCTGATGAGGTAGTTATGATTTTAAGGATAACAACAGAAAGTTGTTTTCTTATGTGAACTTTGTAGAAATTGGAAACAGTGCTCTTTTTTCTCTGTGTGTGTAAAAGTGTGTAAGTGTGCATATTATATGAGTGTGTATATCATGACATTATTAAGCACATACACAGTGTTGATCAGCAGACATTTGCTGCGATACTCACCTGTCTGCAATACTTGCAGATTTGATTTTGTCTATGACGATGACCTGTTTGTTACAGCACACTGAGGTAGTTAGCGCAACCCCAAGGCTGGCACCAGGAGTTTTGGCAACTTCGACTAGTAGGGGCCCGGATGCTGTTGCCACAGAATCTGTCAAAGAATACATTTCAGGAAACAAAACAAGATAAAGCAAGTAAACAAACAAAAAGATAAAGAATGTTTAATCTGGTGTTGGTTTGATCATTTTAATCACTAAATTCAGGTATTTTTCTATTATATCCACATAGCTTGAGGGCACCTTCCCCGTACAGTTGTCAGTATGTGTGTACATGGCAGTCTCTGGAACTAGATTTCAGTCTTTGTGACAGCTAGGATAACATCTCATGGATCAGTTTGTGCTCTACACTGCTTGGAATGGTGCCTGGAACACCCTAGATTTTCTCTAAAATAAATTAATTCAATACATAAGCAGAACTTGCTATGTACGCACACATTTATGTGTATTGATTCATGGAGGGTAGATGGGTGAATAGATAGAAAGAAGGGGTAGATGGAAAAGCATGGATGGGAAAGGGTAAAGAAGGAAAGAATGAGAGCGAGAAAGATAGGAGAACGAGAGAGATAGATGATATCTCTAAATTGTCAAATAGCAGGCAAATAGAGTATAATTTATAAACGTATGGGACCTGCATTAGGGTTTTCTCCCTCTCAGGAGTGACTCTGCATTTTTTTTTTAATTCTGGGCTTCAGGTGCTACTTCAACTCCTACCCATCTTTCGAAATATCTAAACCTCTGGGTGTCTCCCATTCATGGCCTGGTATGGTACTTCTCATACGTGTTCCAACAACCAGCATTATTCCTGCTGTTGTAGCACACACTTCCCTGTCAATAGGCATGTCTACATGTGATTGCATGCCTTTGTCCCCTGCCTGATGGTGAGCTTACTCTGAAGGCAGACACTGTCTTGTCGATCCCCATCATTTCAGTGCCCAGTGTAGTGATCAGGACCAGGATGTATGTGGTTAGAAGCTGTTACATTAATGAGCAAGCAAAGTGTATTTGATATCATCATTTAATTCTAGTGCTCCAGAGGAGTACTAGGCAGGTGGATCTTCGAGTTCAAGGACAACCTATTCTATATAGTGAGTTCCAGGCCAGCCAGGGATAAATAGTGAATCCCCTTCCCCCACCAAAATCTTTGATGCTCTTTAAAGCAAATGAGAGACAAGTGTTATATTGGAAAGAGCCTGGAAATAGAATTTAAAAGGTTTGCATTTAACCATAATTTTTATTTGAATCATGGTGCAACAAGTTACTAAAACTTTTTAAGTCTGACAGCTTTCCTATAAATTGGAACTTGACTACAGTGTTTATTAAAATCAAATCAGTGCATATAGACTGTTATTACTGCTGATATTTTATGACCTCAAACATTCGAGAGCATCTCATCATATTTGCAGGATTGCATGCTGGTGAATGGTTTTGTCTGTGTTCCTGCTGCTCCCGTGTTTGAGATTTCATCAGGTTGCTTCTGTGGTCTTCATCACTGAGGCACGACTCGGTGACTGTTAACTGGGAAGTCTGTGCTTCTGTGGTGGAAGCAAGGGCACAAGGCGCTGATTCACGAAGCTGGAAAGTTGGTGTGTGACAGCTGTCTCCAGTGTGAGATAAATGAGGTCTCTCTTAAATGAAGGAAACATGCATGCCGATGGCATGCAGACTCCAGTTTTAAGGTGTTTTAGTTTTCTTTCATGCAGCATTGGCTTAACCTTCACAGCTTCACACAGTGGCCTTTCAAACTCCATACACAAACATTGCTACACACAATATGGCCTTGGTTATTCTCTTAAACCATGGAGCCATACTCCTCCTGGGACTCCATAGTGCCTGCCTGGGACTGCTAAAGTGTTCAGCCATGTGAACTGAGAGCTACTGGGTTCTCAGCCTCTCCAGTGTGGGAACAGTCACGGCTGGACTACCCAGACAGTATCATGTGAGTGAATCTAATAAATTCCTCATAAATATATATCCCCTCTATTGGCTCCATTCCACTAGAGAACCCTGAATAATGCATAAGGATTCTTGTATGTACCACTTTCCTAAACGCCTAGCAATGTTGAAATAACTCAGTACGGAAAACTAGCAATATTGAAAAGAACTCAGCAAAGATTTCTCTTCTTTAGGGTCGGTTTCTATTCCTTCCATTTCAGAATTCTTTCTGATTAATACCAGCTGGAAAGAGCCAGTGACCTTACTCTACCGAGGCAGCTTTGTGGTCCTGAGGCACGATGACTACCTAGAGCCTGTTGTTACTGTGGCTGCTACCGCGGGCTAACTTCCTGCTCTCCTGACATCATGTTGGGTGAGCTAGTTTTTTTTTTTTTTAAATCACTACCTTTGTAGAATTTTTGAGTCATCAATTATTATGTATCAAACCACTTCCTTAACTCTGGGTTTGAAAAAATGTATTTGTGCCTGCTGGACTTAATTGTAAATTTATTTTGCTTTAAAAATGAAAGCAATGAGGATTTCATGTTATTTATTACTTAATATATTAATTTTCTACTTGGTACTATAGTGGAAAATTGTACAACATGAAGTGTTTTATGAACAAGTTCATTTAAAATATTGTTGAAAATTACTTTAAACTGTGTGCATAACATAGAGATGAATCATAAAGGAATTTTATGCTTACTCTTGGGTCTGATCTCTCATCAACTTTACTATGTATCAACAAATGCTTTAAAAATCAGAAAAATAAGCCGGGTGATGGTGACGCACGCCTTTAATCCCAGCACTCGGGAGGCAGAGGCAGGCGGATCTCTGTGAGTTCGAGACCAGCCTGGTCTACAGAGCTAGTCCCAGGACAGGCTCCAAAGCCACAGAGAAACCCTGTCTCAAAGAAATCAGAAAAATATTCAGACTGAAGATATTCTTTATCTTACTTCAATTATTTTGGGTAACGGACACTCACAGCCTCTATTAAGATTAAGCATCAGCTTTAAAAGAGCCTATCAACAGATAAAAAGTTCTTTATGACCACTTTAGTTATCATTTTTTCATAGCCTATAGATGTGTCAAATGATTGTCATTCATACCCTTGCATGGTTCTAATGTTTTAATTATAATAAAGGCTAAATATTCTTTTTTCTCATAGAAAGAAACAATAAGAACATGGTACCACACGTGATTGAGGCAGATGATACCAGATCCTTTGCCACCATGAATGTAAAGGCAAAGAAAACCACATCACAGCTATTCTGGCATACCTAGGTGATTGGAACCTGGAAAAAAAGGCCTCCCTTCAAGGAGTATTGTTGTTGAGGATTTAGGAGAATAGTATACATAGTATTTGCACTTGAGGGACATAAATGTAGAAGTAATGGGTCTCTTTTAAAGTAGAACGCTTCTAAATCCTGAGCCAAGGAAAGGAAAGTTATTGTAGAGGGAAGAAGCATTGTAGTTTGGGGCTAGTGGCCAAGAGAGTGGTCTATGCTGAACTCATCACGTGGCTGTGGCCATTGACTGCAGAAGACACCATGCTTTTTATTTCTAACTTTAGGAGCTATTTATAAAAGCAACCAGTTTCCAGAGCAGCAGTGACGCCACATATGTCAGAGACCACTGGTCATCCAGAGAGAAAAAAATCAAGGAAGGCTGGAAACTAATTTCATAAAACACATAATAGCTAGAACAAAACTCTCCAGCTTCTGCTAATGAGAAGAGATGAACTGCAGACCACAAGTGGGATTCTAGACAACTGATGATTCCAAAGACGGGAAAACTAGCTTAGGATTAACGTTCTCTTATGGACTTAGAAACATGAACCGACAGTTGGAGGGACGGCATCCAGTCTTCAGACATACACACCATAACACAGCCTTCTCACATCAAGCGGCTTTCAAATCAGAACTGCAACTTTCTAAGAGATCATATCAGGATAAAATTTTTACCCAGGTAGACAAAGAACTGCAAGGAAAAGGGAACAGAGATCCAACATAAAGATTACTGCGAATTAGTGACGGCAGCAAGCAGGGCAAAAATTCATTCTCCCGCTCTCCATAATGGCCTATACTTTCACGTGCTGCCGTCACTACTAAATTGAATTTTTCAACATACATCTCTGTCCAGCTCTCTTGCCATGTAGAGTGGTTCTTCCCTATGCCCTAATCAGGCCAGATACACGTTCCAACCCGAAGGGCGAGTTCATCCACTGCATCCCTTCTCCAGACTTGCTTCTCCGCATAGGGGCTCATGTTGTTCTACACCACACAAACTGAACCCAGGAGTCACTCCCCAGCCTTGTATTCCTGACTGCTCTCCCTGATTTGTCTTGAGTCTACTTTTGAACAATGCTCAGCTTTGCTCTCACTTGCTGTGTGCACATTCACCTTTTTAATTCCACTTGCCACAGTCTTCTATTCCAGATCCTCGCATGTGTTATACCTCCCCAATTCCAAGTGATCTTTCAAAGACGAGCTCTTGTTTTAGTGCCGGTGGTTAGAACCTTTCCACATGGAAAAGGTCGCAATGCACAGGAGGACCTGTGTGATCTAGATGCTGCTTGTTGTCTCAGCTTTATTTCCACCAATCTGTTCTTGTTCTCTAGTCCCCAGGTCCTGTCTGCTTTTTCAGTTCTTCAGAAATATTATGCACCTTCTGCTTCGTAATCTGTCATATCCATTCTTCTCTGTACCTGGGATATTCCCACTCTCACCTGGTCCATCTTTCCCCCAGTTATTTCCCTTGCTCTGCTCCAATGTCACATCTGCTGGGATTCCTGCCTGAACCTACAAACCATTCCAATCTGCCTGCTACACACTTAAATAGAGCCATATGTTTTTCTTTGGCATTGTTTTTAATATACGATATTCAACAATTGTTCTGCAGGTAGCTGCTAATTAATCACTCCATAAAGTCTATGCATCTGGGAATTCTTGATAGTGATTAGCCAGTGCCTACAAAACAAGCTCATACATGATAGGTGTCTACTAATTTATCAATGAAATGAGCTAAAGAATGACTGTCTATTACTTACTCTAGGCAGGAGGCCAATGATCCTGATTATACAGAAGATCATGATGGCTGTTCTTGCACCAGAATGAGTACCCATTCAAGGATGACACCAATGATAAGGAGGGTTTATTTT